AGTACTTTAAATTGTATAAATTACGACTTTGATAAATTGTGTAACCTGTTCTATTTTTAGGTACGGTTCCTCCTGTTCCCTCTAATTAGAATATTACCCCAAAAATAAGCACTCCATTAAAAATAACGATACAGCCGCAAAATATATAACGTGATCTTTTATTAATTATTTATTGAATGAAATTTACAAGTTTCATCATTATAAACATCATTAACATTATCATCAAGAATATATCCCTATCATCAATAACCAATTCCTCATCATACAAATTTTCGTTATACCGCAATTCATAAAAGAATTGATAATAATTACATTAGAAATCTTTTTCCATGAATTTTTTACCCAATTACAAACATCACTGTTTAAGGTTTCCCACGGCAGTTATTCCCCACCACAATTTGCCATCCATAAGTGCCGCCATTCTTTGCGAAGGTGATCCTTGAATGGTTTGTTAATGCCAACATCAAGTGGTTGACAATTACTAGTCAACCCGCTCCGAATGACTGCTAAATCGACACTGCTTTCATAAAATTTTGTTTTAACTGAATCTTCTAAGTGTCCTCTAAAAGAATCATAAACTAACATAGTGGTAGCCTCAGATCGAAATAATCAATATATTTTACCATCAATTTAGCATCCATCCAACCATTATCCTGGAACCATACAACCACACCAGATGGAATTTGTTCATTGCATCCCATTCTTTTCCCTTTAAAGATGCATATTGGTGACATCTTAATTCCATCTGTATAAAACATAAAAGAATTAGAAAGTAGAATATAAAAGAAATAAAACGAAAAAATAGTATTCTTACCAGTGACATAAGTAAGAACAACAATAAAATGATTTTTATCATTACCTGTTCCTCAGATATGAATAGTTTTTTCACCAGTTTGGTTAACATATACCAGCTATGTTGAACCACATGGGGGTTTTATCCCTGTTAAAAATATGGGACATTTCATAGGACCTTTTGATCCTAAGGCGAGTGATATATTAGTAAAAACTTTTCAATAATTCTTCTATTTGTTGTAAATGTTTTTGTACAATTTTTGTGTATCATTGTAAAGACAGCCTTTGTCTTTTTATGAAGGCATATAACCACCAATTTAACATCTTAAATTCATTTATTATATTGCTATAAAAAACCTTAATGTCTGATTCTTTTAAAATATCCAAAATTTTGACTCATATAATGACTAAAGTAATCCCTAACCTGTTTTCTTCATTCAATTATCTAATTATGAGCCTTTTTTTCAGCTTTAGATAAAAAGCCTTTCAACTAAAATAATAATACTTTTACTTTTTCTATTTAATTTACCTTATCTTTTTAGTTTGTACTTATTTTAATCGACCACTTAATTATGCTTTTATTAAGTTCAAAATTAGTTGCTACTCTATTTCTTCTGTAATGCTTTGCATATTTGACAACTTCTTCTTTTAGGAAGAAAATAAAGGATGAATTTTTAGTTATGCTATCTTTTTTCTTGCTTTATAACTAGGCGTAAAATATGAGAAATATGCATATCCTAAAAGATATTAGTTCAAACTACCGCCTGGATAGTACTTTTGAAATTGAACTTGAGAAGATATTGCATAAAGTATCAAATCCATTTTCAAACTTATCAATAAATTGAATATAATGACATACAGGTGGTCTATTCAAGCTATAGTAAAAAAAATGATCGAGATAAAACCAAATTACATCGTAATCTAGAACAAGCTAAGACTAATAATAGGAAACTCTCTGACTGCATCTATCAGCTTATAGATAAAATATCACAACTATAATCAAAGATGGATTCTCTAAATTTTCAGATTACTCGCAAAGATATTTCTCACAAAAACTAATAACAAACTCGCTACAAAATCTAAAGAAATAAAAGTTTTCCAATCCAAGTTGAAATTATTGGAGAAGAATTCTTCTTTAACTCAAATAAACTTATCTGAAATGGATTCTCTCAGGCTTGAATTAAAACAGGTGAGAGGTGATTTGTCTTAAAAAAATTATGAAATGGAATGTATGGAAAAAGGGAAAGAGTCATCAAATAATATATACAAATAAGCGTTAGATTTCTATCTTCAGCACAATACAATTTAATGGAAAAAAATTCTCATCTCTGAGAGATAATCTCAAAAAAAGATAATGAAATAATAGATCTTTCTACAATGTTTCTTAACAGCAATCTTCCATCTCACCTATGAATGATTCATCATAAAAGTTATCAGGTTAGATCAATGACGATTTAAGATCTCTTATTTATAAGCGTGATCTTAAAGATAAAGTTATAAAACTTGATAAAAAGTTTTGCCAGAAAAAATATATTAGAGACTTTGCAAGAGTTATTACCTCAGAATGAGATGGTTTCAAGAAGCCAGACAAATATCCTATCCAATTAATCCATTCTTAGTCGATTAGCATATTCTGAATAGTTTATTTCGAATGAAGAGGTTGTGAAACAATTAGGTAGCGTAAAAGTAATACTATCAGCTAAGTAATATCTCTAGCAGATCCCTCTAGAATAACACCAGCTATTCCTGTCATTGCAAGTTCCTTAATATCACCATTGATATTATATACCTTACTTACTTTACTACTTCTTGCAATTATATAGTTTGTAATTAGGAAAAAATATGGGATATATGGGTATGAATTTAAAAAATGACCGTTATTTCACACATGAAAAATATATAAATAAGCCAGATATTTATTATCTCAATACCTAATCAACTACTGTATAAGTACTAACAAAAGTGAGACTTTTTCAAATCTTTTTCAATATGAGCTAATACCTTTTCTGATAAATCTTTGAGTGGATTTATTAAGATCTTTTCAGTATAGGCTACTGTATATGCTATAATCATCCAATATGAATCTGGTTACTACCCTTACCATTATGACTATGCTGTAATAAAAATTGATAGTCATCCATTACAATATCTCCCATCCTACCTATTCTAATATTATTTTACAAAATACCCACCTATTCTTTTCTGTAATCGGAAGACGAATTTTATTAGGTTTGAAGTCTATATATTGGAAAACCTGATCACGTAGTTCAGCTATTATACCAATAAAGCTTACCTTTAAAATATGTAGATTTTTTCAGCTGATCATAAACTAGTTAATAGTTTTGCTAAATTACTAAAAAATTTGTGAGACAGGCAGTCTCAGAAAATTATATGCAAAAAATATTATTGATTGTCCCAAATCATCTCCAGATATATTCAAAACTAGGCTGTATGATTGGAAGTCAGAAGATTAGAGTGATCATTCTAGGCTGGAAATTTGAAAATAAAAATTGAAGTTAGCCAGTATTATTGCATGAGAAAAAATATGTAAATAATATTATGTGAAGCGTCTTAACAGCTAAAAATTCTTAGTTGAAATTGCCATAACCTATTAAGAGCACTTATTCATATAATTCGATAATATTATCTATATTGGCTTCAGATAAATTATTGAAATATCTAAAGTTTATTAAAGGCTCTTGATATATTTTTTAAGCTATTTTTTTGTCTCTTTCTAGGAATATATATCAATCTCCTTTTTCCTTTTATCTGAATCTTTAATCTGCATTATTTTATCTGATGGAAGGAGTAGAAAGCTATCATTCTTATTGACAAAATATGCACAAATTCCAACTGTAGTGCCTAAATAATAATTGAAATATATTTTTATGTTTTACTTTTTTGCGATGTCTGCATACTCTATAAAATTGCTAACTCTATATGTTATTAACTAGTCTTTCTCTTCACAAAGACGGGAACCCTTCACAACAATATAGCTAAAGCATTCACCAGGATCAGGAATCCTCTCATTTCTTTCCCTCATATATCTCATAAAGCGATTATTGCAAAGATTTTTTTCTTAGGCCTCCATATATCCATTATGATAAATTCATTAAAATCCCATTCCTTGTTTCGTACTTCTCTAAGTATATCTTTAATAATTTTGCAAATTGAACGCATATTATTTATATCCATAACCTCCCTTTAATCCTCTTTCCAATGAATTTAAGAAGCTTAAATTTACCTTATTTTACAGTATTTATCCCTTTTATGATAAGGTTTTTTAGCTTAAAGTTTACTACTTCTTCATATCAAATCCTAAAATACTTTTTTTTACCAGTAAAGCAGATGGAAATAATACCTCTTAATATACTATATTTAGATAAGACATCCCACTTTTTAATTCTAAGATAAGCGTTTACTTGATTGCCTAATCTTTTCATCACATTCATAGTAATTTTAACCATTTCAGTCCAGTATGCTTCTTTAGAAAGTTCTTTTCTGAAGAAGGCTTCATCACATTTTTTGTAATATCTATCTGGACAGGTGAGGTACAAAGAATCGGTATCTTCATATTTTATTCTAAATCCTTTCTTTATTATGAATTCTGCGTCAAGATTAAGGTTGTATTTTCCTGCTGAAGTAATTCTTCCAGCTAATTCATGAAGAAATATTGGAGATTTTGAGTTTTCTACTTTTTTATAAAAATGTTTATTAGGATTCCCAAAATCGAATTGAATCAAATATTTAAGAATTTGAATTTGATTTGATTTTTTCAAATCAAATCAAATCGAATTGAATCGAATTGAACTCAAATATTTGATCGAATCAATTTGAATCAATTTGAATTTGATCGAATTAAATCAAATTGAATCAAATATTTGTCAAAT